TGAAATGGCCGCATATAAATTTATATATGCATGTTAGCAACCTGTTCATTGCATTTTATTGGGATGGTAGTGATTCAAGAGGAAACAGACTGTATTTCAATGCAAAAGTGTGAGGTATATAAAACCCTCTGTGTCCCTGGCTGCTTTGAACTGTACCACTCACACTAGGACTAGGAGAAATTTGAGACAACCACGTCAGGATTAACACACAAGCAAAGACAGTCTGACAAACTAATAAACTAAATATGAAAAAGTATAATTTAGAAAATTTTTACCTCGCGTTTTTTTTGGTCACTCAATTTCCAGTTCAATGATGTTTAGTTCATATTTCTATCTAAATAAATAAGGAAGTTATAAGAATTTTTCATGACCCATCCTAATGTTCTTGAAGTTCTTAAATTAATTCGCTTCTGGGGGACCGGACAGTGCAAATTGATGCCTCTTGAAGGACAAGGCAGCGGCATGCGTTGTGCCTACTGCCTGCCTGCCTACAATTGAGTAACCCGGGCTGGGTAAGGTACAAGACTTAATTAAGCAGACAAAAACTGAGACACTCGATAAAATTAAAATACACCACCCCCATGGAACTCAAACTCGTGTTTCTCGTTTGTAAGATGAGGAGCCAACACTTACACAGCAGGCGATTGTCAGGGTTTTCTTTTGTTCTCAGTTTGAAGAAAGGCTTATCGTGTGCTTATGTTTTGCTCTCTGTCTGTTGACACATACGACATACACACATCAATGATCAACATACATGCGCTACACAACGAATGCTTTACTTGTTAAAATACGATGATGGAAACAGGAAACACTTACAGCCCACCGCCATAAAAACAACATTAACAACAACAGCAGCAGCAGAAGCAACAAAAACAACAACAACAATAACAACAACAACAACAACAACAACAACAACAACAACAACAACAACAACAACAAAAACATCAACAACAATATCACCAACAACAATATCAACCACAAAGCATCAACAACATTTAAAGCGATAGGCACATTATGGAGAGGGAAACTGCATTATCCAGCAATCAATCAGGGGCCAAAGACGCAGACCAAACACCTTATAGATGGCTTATAATAATAAATCAGTGCGTGTGAAATTTTGCAACAGCCCTCGTATGCCTAATTTATTTCCTTGCAAACTGTTTCATAAATCTCGGATAATAATTCAGGCCTCAGGCCTTTATCTCTTTTAAAGTACCCGGACCCTGGCGATTTTTTGTATGGCTCGAAGTAGGAGCTTCAAATCTGTCACGTTAAATCGTGTTCACACCACATTAAAATAATAATAGCCATAGCGAGAATTAAAAATGGCCAGCTTATTCACTCAGTGAACGAGAAAATGCGCAAAACAATGCATTGCTTTGCCTAATATCTCAGTTGCCCACATGACGAACTTCTCAGAGTTCTCTCATTGCACATTGTGTGAGGTCCGTCTCTTTCATTGGAAGTTCGTCACCTGCTACCTTTCTTTGGCTGTTTTGACATGAGGCTATGCCCCTATCCTCTTATCTTGTCATTAATGCCGTGCGCTGTATGGTTTTCAAAGCATGTTACCGCTCCGTCTAAATGTTGTTATTTTTTGCTTTGATTGAAGACAGCCTGCCTGTCAGTCTGAAAATATGTCTGCCTGTAGTCTTCGTGTTTATTTGTATACCGGATAAACAACACTGTGAATCCCCTCATTTGACGAATGGAGAGTAAGTTATCCATTTCATATGCTCAGTCAAAGACAGGTCTAGATTTTGACTAGAAATTTTTTATGCTCCTTAAACTTCAGAAATAAAGACGAGAGAGCCCACCAGCTGACAGTCTGCTGTGCAATGAAACCAAATACGTCTTTTATGTTTCTTCTGTAACAAAAACATTTACTCCATTGCTAGCTATTCTTAATTCTTATCACAAGGCCAAGGATATCCATTTGTCAGTATGTCTATCTGTCTGTCCTGACGTCTGTCTTTTGTCTGATATGCGATGCATGGCCTTGTGTGGGCGAGATCTGCCTGTCTGTATATCTATACAATGTATTCTTCACACGTTCAACAACAATTCATGCGTATGTGCTCCTTCAGGCTATGATCGGATCAGAATCAGACAAGCGCCGAGGCCTGGGAAGATGCTGATAACAAATCGTTCGCTTATAGTATATGAGTGTGTAGGTTCGCTTACATACTGCAGGCTTTGTATAATGTATGCCCACACCACTATAAAAACTCAAAATTGAATAGCTTTGTCAGCTGCCCAAAATATTTTTTTTAAAGTATTGAAGTAACTTAATTAATTAGGAATTGGGCTATATAGGGGCCGACCTGATTTGTCGATCATAGGGGAGGCCTTTATTCCCGCTGCAAGAAAGTGCTCTTTGTGAAACATCTGCACGGCGTGACAACCAGCTGCAGACCCTTTGTATGTGTTGATGGCAACGGCAAAGAGACTTACGATACACCAACAACATTGACGTGTTGCAACGAAATTAATGTGTCATAACTCTGTGGAATCAGGCCCTCGCTAATTGTTAGGCATATTGAGTTATTCATAACTTCTTAAAGCTTTTTTATTTGCCTTGCTCTTGATGAAGAAATGCCCCTCTATCATAAGTATAAGTCGAGATATTAAAGATAGAAGAGGGTGGGGTTTAAGAGGTAAAATTAGCGAGAAAATGGCGGCCAAAATCCGATGACTTCCAAAGCTTGAATGTACTTAGGAACCACAAATGTACATTTTTGTGCTTTTTATCAACGTTTGATAGTAAAATCTATACAACAATGTTTTTCGTTTTTGATATATACATAATCAACGTTAAGCTAAAAGGAATCCAATTAAGAGTTCAAAAGCTAACCAATTTTTTTAAATACCCACCCTAAAACCAATGACAAATAAAGCCTAATGCAATTGGACGTAATGACAAACTAAAATTATGTTGGATGAATTTAAGATAGTTTTTATCTCGAACAATAACCATGGACCTTGATTTTTTAAAAAGTAAACAGCTGGATCATTTAATTTTTAAAACATGGCAATGTATGAGAGAATAACAGAGAACAAAAGGTTTGTTCTTGACAAAATCAGATTTTTACGCTCGGATAAATTTAAATACATTCTGATGAAACATGGCCAAGTATGATCGTGTGGTGTCAATACAGTAGCGACACACTGTGAAGCAGTGTAGTCTTAAATGACCTTCAGCTACATGAGCTAAGTGATTTAAACACAGCTCACGGACCTTAATTTTTAGAATTGCTTATTTGAATAACTATGCTTCTTTCCATCGACTATTGCTCTTTCAGGTGCCAGGGGGCTAGGACACATTGCATGGAACCATTGTCATAATGATATTGAGGTACCTGTCATGCAAACTAGAGAAAACAGATCAAAACATAATTTCCGGGGGTTCGATTAGGCACTTTCTATGTGAAAGTGAAACGGCCCAATAGCATCTCATGATTACCCCCACCCGTCTTTACAAGTGATAGATCTCCTTTGGTGTGAACAAATGCACTCCATCATGGTTTTTATTCCGTGTTGGACCTATGCTCTATTTGTAGCGCTGAGATCAAGCTTGTAAGAAAGAAAACAGCTTTCCAATAAATAAGTTGCCGTGATGGCTATAGGTCAACAGTTCTGTAGGAACAGTAAACCAAATTTTTAGTTCAGAGAAGCTAAAACCACACGTTTCCCTTTTCATTCAAACAAACAAATTTCTTATAATATTAATAACCATAAAACGTGCACATATACACTTGGTAAATGATTTGAATAAATTCTTGAGATTTTGTTGATATTGTACTTTTTGAAAGGTAAATAGGTCGCCCTGGAGCAATAGCAATCACTTCTTTGGTTTCCGACCACGACAATACAGTCCTTGTCTCCCTCACATGCCAATGAATGAATTTATGAAACACAATAACACTAGCTTCTACACTGAACTCAACCACGCATTTTAAAATCAGAAACACATTTGATTTAAAACTGTTGTCTGTCTTTCAATTAACTTACACCGTGCCCCTTGCGGGCACATTCTGCAAGTGAATGTCCAAAATATAGGATCAGAAAACACAGCAAACTACACTATGTAGCTGTTTTCATTGAGTCGTCACAACTTCTTACCCCAAGGTCTCAACATTAGTTTATATGTCAACACGCCAGGGAGTGCATATTGCAACACTGAGAGATGTAGCCGATGCAAGAACCACATCTACATTGCTATAGTTGCCGACTCGATCTCTGCTTACGGCAAAATCGGTCCCGATTTTTGAATGGGTTAAGACAAAAAAAAACCAACACAAAAAGCCTCCAAAACATGACGTTAATGTTGATGTTTTGAAAAACAAGTGGAGCGTAGGGTATTAACTTCTTTATAAAAAGCGTTCTGAAGAACTGTTGCTAAGCTAAGAATAGTCCGTTCATCATAACACACATGGTACTTCACTACAAAATGAAACAGCTTCGTTCCACTGTCTGGATAGCTTCTTGGATGTTTACAAATAGTCTTCTAGCAAATTCATGATTTACCCACATCGCTTTGTTTTTTAAAATGTTATGTTTAAGAGCGATACTCAGCCCAGTCTGCTCTAACGACCACCTTACAAGAAAATCACCTTAACAAATGACCACTTAATTCGCTTTGCTCTTGACTATTTCAAAAATAATGTTTTAATGACATAGCCTAAGACGTTGATCTGTCTAAAACAACTATTCTTCTCCTTGACAATGTGTAGCCTCTTAGACAATTTCTGTTTTGCAGTTTGAGTTTAACGACCCCAGAAAACTTTGTAATGTTATTTTACAGGCAGGAAATGCGATGTCAATGTCCATCTGTGACATGACTGTGACAAGCGAACGGGGTTTTGCTCTATACAAATGCTATCTATTATTTATTATTATTATTATTATTATTATTATTATTATTATTATTATTATTATTATTATTATTATTATTATTATTATTATGATGATGATGATGATGATGATGATGATGATGATGATGATGATGATGATGATGATGATGATGATGATGATGATGATTATGATGATGTTCAAGAACAGAGATAGTTGGAGACCCTAATCAGGGTTGTTCCTGCCGCAGTCGATCCTGTTATCATCAGAGATATCGGTGATCATGTCTTATAGAACCATGGAGCAGTTAGCGAAACACAAGCATCTGGCAACCGCAAATGTTATAATTATGATGTAGACAAAGGAATATCGGCGCTTCAGTACTACAGTCTATTTTTTCGTTTCGCCCTCCTGCAACATTTCTGGAACAGTTTTCGTAGCTCTAAACGAAACCGGGTCCCGAAAGCGCTGTAAATCAGGAAATTCGCAGCAATGTTGGTGTACTTGAGCAGGATGACGAAGGTGTTAACGAGGTGGTTCTTAGCCCTGCCTATCTCATCCTTGGTGAACAAGAAGGAGGAGGTGAGGTACCAGACGCAGTACGGCACGTTGAGCACCACGAACAGGATGCTGGTCAGCACGATCAGGCCCGTCAGAGACTGCGTATTGGTCTGAGACTTTGGGTCTTCTGGTTTGAGCATTTGGCGGACATCGACGACGATGGACTTCCGAGGTGGCCTGAACGTTGACAGAGGCATTGTTCGAGGTATGGAGTTTCGCCGAGCTCTGTATTCTTCCTCATACATCGATAAGCTGGAAATGGAGTCGTGAGAGAGGAAGCTTAACTTCAATTTCGAAGAGACAACTGATGTTGAGGACAGATTACCATCAAAGTTGATTTTCGCTTCCTTTTTCGTTTGCTGACGACCTGAATTTTTCAGGATACCACATTTTTTCGTCTGTAGTAATCCAGATCCATCGACTGTTTGTTCACCACTTTTTGGCGTGGTTTTGGCGTTCTGGCTGATGTCTAAACCTGCCAGTTCTGGCAATAGAGAGTCGATGTCACCCTGAATGTGCTTGCTCTTCTCTTTGGCCGATTTGTACTTTCTGTTGAAAGTGAAAGCAAATTCTTTGTATCCCCGACGATTTCTTCGTTGTGATATACTACCTGTTTTTTTTTCTGTAACTCGAGATGTATCCGAAGAGGACAGTTTGTTTTTAGTTGTTTCTATGCCCTCGACACTTGTGTCTTTATTTACTAAAGAAGCTGATACATGGCATCGACACGATGCTGGATCACCATGAGTCTGGGATATGTTTATGCCACTCAGGGTGTCCAAGTCTATCGGCTTGCACGACGTTAGATGTGAGCTGTGTCTGCCTTCCTCTTCCATTCCTGGGTCACCCCTCACTGACTCGTCCTGTATTCTGGTATTCGCATCCAAAACTACATGTGCACTTGTCGTGTACTGTACAAAGTAATTAGGAGATATAGGAAACGTTTCAGTAGTTTTGTTGTTGTCACTAGCTGAGATAATTTTGTCTTCAGCCAGTGTATTTATAGAATCGTCAACAAAACAATTTGGAAAAACAGAATTCTGGGACTCAATTACGTCATCACTCTTCTCGGGGTCAGACTGGGAGACATACCTTGGGTACTTAACGGTTATTGAGAATTCTGACGTTTCAGATATTAATGGTGAAGTACCAACACTATTTTCATCTGTAATTATGTAGACTAACTCGTTTGTCGTTTCCATCAAGTAAGTATGACCACCTCGTTGGCTTCCCCTGAAGGACATACATGTACTTTTCGAGGGCGGAACGGTTGACCATATCTTTTTGCGGGAGGGTGAACGGACGGCCAATTCAATTTCGGTCCTTCGGTGTAAATCAGAACTCTTGGAGGTAAAAGGTTCTTTGTTTGGAAGAGACGCCAGTGTTTGTTCGAGGTAGGGACCAGTCACAGCTGAAGACTGGAGCCTTGTATCATTCGGATGGTCAGTTAAGTCAAGGCGAGAACAAGACTTGTCGTCGTTGTCTGTCTGTGCGTTCACTAGGTGACAGTTGTTGTTGATGAATCGAGGAAAAATTCGGGGCGATTGTGTCATTTTCTTTCTCTGGTCTGAGTCTACAACAGTTCCATTGCGCAGACCTGAGGTGAAGTCTGCCTCATCCTCTTCCTCGATATCGCTGAGAGAAGCTAACAGAGGAGAGTAAAAAACACTTAGTAATTTTGTTCGAAAAACTTTTTTATTTCAATTAGCTTCAGTATGAGTTTTTTTCCGGCACAATTAGGTCATATAAGCGCGGGAATTATTTTGCAATTTGAACTTATAGTCTAGAAAAATTGATAATTATGGTCACATTGTGTAACCTGTCTAACTACAAGGGTGAACATCATTAAAAAATGTAATATTTGGCAAGCAATATGAAAAGGAGGACTTCAACGTTTTAATGGAAACAGAGAAGGTGGCAAGATTTTAAAATTTTACCATTGAAATCAGGCGCTCGTCAAAATAGTGAAATCCAAGAAAACGGCAATTTTCTGACCCTTGGGCAGTTGGTTTTTTAAAATGTTTATTGGCTCAACACTGTTCATGTCCATTTGAATATTTCTTTGTGGATTTTACTGAAAAATGTTGTTCAAAGGCACAAAAAAGCAAATTTCTAGTTTCCAATGACACTCAAGCTTTGGAAGTAAACACACTTTGGCTGTCATTTTCTCGCTAATTTTACCTCTGACACCAGGCAACTCCCCATCTCCTTCAATCGCAAATATCTCGGCTTCTACTCAAGATAAATGGGTATTTTTTGTGTCAAATGCGAGACAAATGAGTAAACTTCAAGATGATACTTATGACTCCATACGCCCAAAAAGTGACGAGTGCCTGATTCCACCACGTCGTGACACATGTAGCATTTTAAAAGATCCTGACAATGTAAGCTTGTACTGCAGCAGTTTTCCTTGATCGACACATCTTCTTTATAACCTTGATACATCTCTTTGTAGAAGCGTTGAAGTGCGAGCAATTGTAAGCTAAGTATATTACCTAAATACATGATGTACTGAGAATTCGTTAAAACACGCATAGTCCTTTCATATTATGCATCTCTAGCCACTTTCGGTAAATCCTGAGGACCCAAACGTATTCTTGCAAATGACATGTGTTTCAACGACATTTTCGTTTGCATTTTGTTAACTTCTAATGATAAAGTAATATATTATTAGTGTATCTGAATGAAAGTTTTAGTAACTAGAAAAAGCATTTAGGCTCACTGTATTAAAAATGTAATGTGACAATGTAAGTTTTATGATCTAAAACGTTAAATGCCATACAACCCACAGCACTAATTAATGCAAAGGCGGATACCTGGTCCTGAATGACAGGGAAACATTCTGGGAGGAAATAAGACATTCAATTGTACATGCCCATATTTCAACCGTCCCACGAGCTTCTATGATATGATATCATGTTTGTTGACTTTAAGGAGTCCAGTTGGAATGAGGAGGGTATCTCATTGTGTCTCTATTACTCTTTTTTTTTGTTAGAGTTTTTCGGTGCTCGCAACTGCTCTTTTACTATTAGTCCGGAATATGTTTCCTCTCGTCGTTCTGACAATGAATACAGGTTTTACGGTTGGTACTTTTATTGTGTTCACTTTAACATTGATTTTCAGTGGTTAAAATTCGGACGTAAAAGAATATTTGCCTCAAATTATATGAAATCTGCGTATGACTCATTGACATTAATGTAACTGATTTCACAATCTACAGCAACGCATGCGTGAAGGAAGGATACTTTCATCACTGTTATTGAATATATACATTATATTTTACTCTCTCTCTCTCTCTCTCTCTCTCTCTCTCTCTCTCTCTCTCTCTCTCTCCTTATCACAACTATTGTATTCTATTGGAACTTACTTTTAGTCTCTCGTTCTCCCAGTGTCTTCAGCAAATCTGCGGAGGTCCTTCTATCTAAAATCAAAACAGGGAATTAAGTTGAATCCTTAAAAAAGATTCATAAATATTTTCTAGGTCTATCTGATCTCACTTTCTGTCGCACATGTGTCTGTTAATGGACAAAGAGAGAGCGAGAGAGAGAGAGAGAGAGAGAGAGAGAGAGAG